CTTTGTTTTTGTTAGAAGCCTACAAAATTATGCTGCAAAATTATCCTGTAAAATTAGGCTTTGAAAGTATCCTGTATAATATATCCTGTAAAAATATCCTGCAAAAATATCATGTAGAAGTATCCTGTAAAAGTTTCCTGTAAAAGTATCATGTAAAAAAATATCCTTTAAAAATATCCTTTAAAAATATCTTTTAAAAATATCCTTTAAAAGTATCCTTTAAAGTATCCTGTAAAAGTATCCTGTAAAAGTATCCTGAAAAAGTATCCTGTAAAAAATATCCTTCAAAAAATATCCTGTAAAAGTATCCTGTGAAAGTATCCTGTAAAAGTATCCTGTAAAAGTGTGCACGTGGATGGAGTGCGTGTGTCTTCAGTTCCGTGCGCTCTGTTGTGTTGTGTCTTGTGCCTGAGTCACGCGTCAGGCTAACACACTCATTGTACTTCAAGGGATTCTGTCCACTGATACACGTTTGCATTGTTAACGTCTCATCACTTTTCTCATTTAATTGATTTCAAAACATTTTTTCTGATTTTCGATTTATTCCTGATAAAAAATTGTACAAACGTAAATTTCCTATGACAAAAAATATATTCGAAGTCTTGAAAAAAAGCGAAATAATAATTCGCAGATTCCTGGAACGATCAATTTCTGAATCACATAAAATTATCGACCACCAGAATTATGTTATCTGCATGCATGGGTCGAAAATATCATTTGCCGATCCCCCGAAGACAAACAGCAACGAACTATGACAATCGAACATCAACACGAGTTCAAAATCTATTACAAATGAACACAAACCAATATTATTGGATAATTCTACTGGAGCAATAAGGAATATTCGCAATTTATCATCAAAGAAAAACAATGTCCTAACATAGCGAACTTCAACTAATATGATATCAGTTTAGCATCAACGACTGACAGCAATCTAATGTATTCTTGTTTTCTATCCAATTCTGGCAATTCAATTATCAAAACATAGATATGTAAGTCCTAGGCTGACGAATCTTAACTGGCCTGCGATACCGTCAACTGAATTAATTACGCCTAATATTTTGAATATATTAAAAAATAAACACTTGGAACACGTGTGATCAAATGCTTTTCTGATTGTTCTACCTGGGAAGTGCTCACTTCAATCATGCCGGTGGTATGTGTTGTCCTCTGCAACTCGAGGGTTACGAGGGATTTATTATTTAGTTTATTTATTGTCAGCCTCAGAAACAGTCTGGCACTCGTCCCGTCAGGCAAATGCAGTTGAAACAACGTTGATTATGAGTTGATTTTGTTAAAAAACATTGATTATGAGTTGATTTCGTGGAAACCACGTTGAATAAGAGTTGATTTCGATGAAACAACATTGATTATGAGTTGATTTTGTTGAAACAACGTTGATTATGAATTGATTTCGTTGAAACCATGTTGAATATTGTTGGGGACTATTCAATAAATAAGCATTCTAACCCCAAACACGTGGCCAATGATCGCAATTAAAGGATGAAGAAAAACTGATAAATCAAGAAATATAATAACAAATGAAAGACAAATACAAGAAAACAAATATCAAAACTATAAACCGTGTATCTCTTAGCCCTTGCCTAATAATTCCAAATCATGTCCTAAGTTCGGAGCCTCGCTGAAAAGCAATAATAAATACAAATTAAAGACTTGAATTAACGTAACGCCAACAAAATAATATATAACACATGAATAATAACCTAATATAAATATTCAATATCACCAGAAAAAAAACACCCTACATAAACACGAAAGATTAACACGATAAACAATTCAGGTACTAACCTCTGTGGTGGATCACTTAACAATGACAAGTTACATGACGCATCTAGACGAGGTGACGTAATAGTTCACTCAAAAAGCAAAATGACAAAACCCGTTGCCTAACTATCTATGAAATTATTACATTGAAAGGCTATCCCTAACATCATGAGTAGATTTCACTGAAACAACGTTGATCATGAGTTGATTTTGTTGAAACAACGTTGATTATGAAGTAATTTCGTTTAAACAACGTTGATTATGAATTGATTTTGTTTTAACAATGTTGATTATTATATATTATAGGGGCATGGTTCTCGGAACCGCTGACTTAAGCTTTTGTAGAGAACGAAGTCGTGGCTCATGGGCCGTACTATCGAAACTCGCTCCATTATACGTTACGGCCTAAGTAAACGTACCGGCCTAAATGCACGTTACGGCCTAAGTACAGTAACAACCTAGGTACACGTAACGGCCTAAGTACATGTTACGGCCTAAGTAAACGTAACGGCCTAATGCACGTTACGGCCTAAGTAAACGTTACGGCCTAAGTACATTTAACGATTTAAGTACACGTATCGGCCCAAGTACACGCAACGGCCCAAGTACATGTAACTGCCCAAGTGCACGTAGCGGCCTAAGTACACGTTACGGCCTATGTGCACTGAACGACCTAAGTGCACGGAGCGGCCATATTGTTGGATTTATCAATGGGAATCTGCGCTAAACAATTCACATGATTATTCGGAGCGATCGTTGAGTCTTATATGTAAATCAGACGTTGGCTGGTGAGGGTTCGTCGCTTTTAATTTTTAAACAAACCATTGAGATGGTAGAGGGTACAATTAAGGGTTGGTCAAAATGTGATTAAACACGAATGACAAAAATTTAAAATCGATTGCCGGAGCAATAATGTGTGTTTGAAGGAAAATTGACTTTGAACGTGAATTGCTGTGAAACTTCTTCGTATAATTAAGCAGTCTATTTAAGAGATAAAGTGCAAAGACGTCGGCTAAGATGCCCATGTTTAGCTCTCTTTTTAAGAATTTCACAATATTTTACAACAGAATGAAATAGCGGCTCAAAATATTTTCCATAGCAATAAATATTTTCCAAAATCCTTGTTGAATCCTTATGTCTCTGTCGCCATCTGCTGGCACTGTGGGTAAGATAGTGAGTGAGTCATTGTTTTTAGACAATATATGTCTCAATCATATGTCAATATAGCCGCATATGTCTCATTACCTATTTACTTTCAGTGTCTCTGTACTCGACTCAGTCTTATAACGGGCATTTTTAATCCTATATATAGTGAGACGTAATAAATGTATTACGTTACATATATATCAAATATATTTTTATACAAAAAGTAATAGATATAAGGGCGTTGGACACTCGCGGTGGCTACGTCAAACATCATAAATCCGGATAAATTTTTTATTTACCGATGCTGGGCATTTTTTAATGCCCAGCATCATAAATATTCTGTTTGCTGCCTCCTGTGATTACTGAGCTGTGGGTTCGCTCCCCCGCGTCGGATATTCAGCAGAAATAAAACTCGTATTGTATCGTCATTAAACGATTTATTTATATCACATTAATTATACATACGACGTAAACATTCGATTATTATTTAAACTCAGGATATACATCACCATTTATTCTAGCTATTGAAAATAATCAAATTAGGAGAAAATAATCAGTTTACATTAGTTAGGTAAAGTAAATTATTGAGATTTCATAATTAAATGTTAATAGGAAAATAAATTGTGAAAACCTTAACGAGGGCGGAGTGAAGGCACCAATATTATTCCACTTAACAGGAGGTAATTAAACCTAATTATGCACTCAGAAACATGTATGGGTCAAAATGCCCAACTAGTGACACATTTTCTGCACAGGGCACGGATAGTACGGCCCGGACTGGGCCGGGATAACCCAACTGTGGCAAAAAAGTGCAGCGCTTTTTTGACAAACTCTCGTTCATTTATTTGAGAGTATCGTTGGATGATTGTAATTAATAATCATTTATCATCTCTATTCGTAGACTACTGATGTATTCGTAGATGATCTTTTATCTTTAAATAGTAAATATCATTCAATGTTCGTGTGGCGACCCTGGTATTGGAATAATAATGTTCATCATTGCTGATTTGTCGCATGTTCTACGACTGTCGTAAGTTCTACGATGATCGTAAGTTCTATGATGATCGTAAGTTCTATGATCGTAAGTAATACGATGATCGTAAGTTATACGATGGCCGGGAATTCTACGATGATCGTAAGTTATACGATGATCGTAAGTTCTATGATGATCGTAAGTTATACACGATCGTAAGTTCTATGATGATCGTAAGTTAAACGATGATCGTAAGTTCTATGAATGAAGTTATACGATGATCGTAAGTTATACGATGATCGTAAGTTCTATGATGATCGTAAGTTCTATGATGATCGTAAGTTAAACGATGATCGTAAGTTCTATGAATGATCGTAAGCTATACGATGATCGTAAGCTATAAGATGATCGTAAGCTATACGATGATCGTAAGTTCTATGATGATCGTAAGTTCTACTGTGATCGTAAGCTATACGATGATCGTAAGCTATACGATGATCGTAAGTTATACGATGATCGTAAGTTATACGATGAGCGTAAGTTCTATGATGATCGTAAGATCTACTGTGATCGTAAGCTATACGAGGATCGTAAGCTATACGATGATCGTAAGTTATACGATGATCGTAAGTTCTGCGATGACCTATGTTTTGCTTTGATTGTAAGATCTTCGATGGTCGTAAGTTATACGAAAATCTTATATTCCATAATGGTATATATTTTCTATGACGGACGCAGGTTCTACGATGGTTGTAAGTTCTACTTTGATTGTAAGTTCCTCGATGGTCATAGGTTCTCGGACGATCGTAAGTTCTACAACGGTCGTAAAGCTGCGTCTTTTATACACCATTTCTTATCCATTAATATTCCATACTTAAACGAAGACAGGGAGCAACAGCGGAAATAATGGGTCAAATAATAATATACTAATAAAATAATAATAATAATAAACTACATCACATTCAATTTTCGTAATCGCCATGTGTCGTGCCGAAATCGCGGAATTGCCGATTATATGGAATCGGCAGCCAGTTAGCAGATTCTGTAGAATCAGCATTTATACAATAGGAATCTGGGGTTAGGTCAATCAGCTAAATTATTTTTTTTAATAATTTGAATATAAAGGAACTTGACCGATCTTGACCTAACATTTACTAACTCTAACTGTGTATTTATGTTCTAACTCTTAACGTCCGATTTCATGAAGCATTGCCGATTCCATAGAATCAGCAATTCCGCGATTTCGGCACGACACAAACATCATTATATTACATATCTTCTTTAATGAAAAATAATCTGCTTGAAAATCATTACCTAGAACAATGATCAATAATCATTTTTATTCTTATAAAAATAATCTCGACTTTACATACATAATAAAATTATATATAATAGTTAATAGCTGTCATTCAGTTACCAATTACCTGTATTTAAATGTAATTAAATCGTAATTAATTAACGACGAAATTTCTTATAGGGGAACAGTGCCGCATAATAGGCGGTTGCCGGCTCCCTGGGATGCGTGTCTCCCATTGGCTGGCTGAGGGGGGCGGCCTGGACGCTGATTGGCTGATACGTTGAGGGCTTTTGAGGATACGAAGGAGTGAGGGGAAATAAGGGGGAGTTTGAGGGAGCATACGGGGAGTTTGAGGATACGAAGGAGTGAGGGGAAATAAGGGGGAGTTTGAGGGAGCATACGGGGAGTTTGAGGATACGAAGGAGTGAGGGGCATAAGGGGAGTTTGAGGATACGAAGGAGTGAGGGGCATAAGGGGGAGTATGAGGGGGCATGGGGACTAGAGGTAGGAGCCCGTGAGGGGAGTGTGGGAATAAGGGTGAGTCAATAGGGAGTGGTGACTTGAAGGAGAGTGCTTGATGGCCGCCTACTTCAAAGGGAGCCATTGGGTGTGTTGGGTGCGCGGGGACTTTATGATGGCCGTGAAAAAGTCCCTCGCTTGGGCGGGCTGGACGTGCGTCCCCAGCACGACCTTACCAACGTACCGCTCCCCAACCTGTCCCCGGCCGTCCCCAGCGCAGTCCAGGCCGTCCCCAGCCCGTCCATTACAGTCCTCGTTGTCATCAGCAGCTCCCCCGCTGTCTTTAGTCTTCTTTTCTCCTACCTTGGGGACTTCATGCAGACTTGTGTGAAGACTTCCGTTTTCTGCTAGAATTTTTTCGTCTGTAGAATTTTTATAATTGTGGTCTTCCTGATTCTTGTGGTCTATTGATTTGTTGGAACTGTGGTCTGTAGCCTTCTTCTGGTCTGCTGCCTTTTTGTTGTCTTGGTCTGTCCTCTGTGTTGTCTTTACACCGTGGAGGTCTGCAGACCCCGTGACGGGCTGTCTGCTACAGACACACACCACGACAGACACGGTCTCAACCTGCGGCAAGAGAAGACGCGTTAGGGGGGGGTTAATAGATTATTCAATTATTTATATTAATAATTAGGTTATTTATCACCACTAGTTATAGAAGGGGCGAATGACGATTATAAATTTAGTTTAGTTACCAAGTTAATTGCAAAATGGCATGAGGGGGCGAATGACGAGTATTTTTTAGTTTAGTTACCCCCACTAATTACATGAGAGGCAATGGAGGATTATCACTTAGTTTAGTTACCCCCTACTAATTATAGAGTGGTCAATGGGTTAATTATTTAGTCTAGTTAACCACTAATTACAGGAGGGTCAATGGGATTTATTATTTAGTTTAGTTACCCTCAGTTTAGTTCCCTCATAATTTCAGGAGGGTGAATTGAGGTATATTATATACTTTATTTACCTCCTATTTTCAAGAGGCTGAATTTGGGTTTATTAATTACTGTAGTTACCCCCTTATTCCAGAAGGTCTGCAGAGGATATATTATTTAGTTTATTTACCCACTTAATAAGAGTAACAATAAACATGGGTTCATAACTAAGCTAAGTTTCCCCCTTAATTACAGGGGGGTTAATGGGGGGGTTTATCATTTGGTTTAGTTTTCCTCGCTTATTGCAGGAGAATTCGTGAGGGTAATTGTTTCATTTAGTTAACCCCGCTAATGGTAGGAGAGTTAATGAGCGTTAATTATTTAATTTAGTTACCTTCGCTAATTGCAGGTGGGGCGAATGTCGTTTATCAGCTAGTTTAGTTACCCTGTTCACTAAGTTCATTTTACGAAAACCTGTACATTCGTCGAACGACTTCATTTCAACTTAGTAATCCCTTAACGCCCACGTATACAATGCGCTGAGATAGTATGATACTCTTAAAATGTTCAGTAATAATGGCCCATTCTTGTCGAATTACTTTCAACTTTCAGTAGTAAATCTGCTATTTATTTAAAACTGCATCGAACCAGTTCGGAATAAAACAATATGATTGTATTACTAGGCATATTTCCGACTTTTGAGACAATCTTCGAATAATTAATGGTCAAAGCAATTTTAATTGTGAATAAATCAAATAATGTGGACAAAAAATAGTATAGTACTTGCTGTATATAAGGCAAAATTTGTTATATGTCTAATCTACAATAGTGATAAGTAAAATTTATAGAGTTACAGCAATGCGAGGGTTATATGAGGGTAATATGAGGGCAATGTGAGGGTAATGTGAGGTAATGTTTAATCAGACCTGCTGCGGCTGTAGGGGGAAGATCAGGGTCTGACCTGCTGGGGCTGTAGAGGGAAGATCAGGGTCTCTGACCTGCTGGGGCTGTAGGGGGAAGATCAGGGTCTCTGACCTGCTGGGGCTGTAGGGGGAAGATCAGGGTCTCTGACCTGCNCTGCCTGACCTGTCTCTTATACACATCTAGATGTGTATAAGAGACAGGGTAATGTGAGGGCAATGTTTAATCAGACCTGCTGAGGCTGTAGAGGGAAGATCAGGGTCTGGTTCCACTGAGGGTTGGGGGTGTGGCTGCAGTAGCCCGTCTTTTTCTTCTTCAGAAGGCGCCCCTTGTTCAGCAGCAGCACTCGCACGAACGGGTCTGAGGGCATCAGGGAGTTAGAACCTACATTATTTATCATGTTATTATTATTATATAATTGTTGATATGTTTTATCTACTGTATAAGTTGTTATTGTTCAGAGAGTCAGAACCTACATAATTTATCATGTTATTGTTATATAATTGTTATAATAATATGTTTTATCTATGCATATCTATGAGTAAATTTTAATATTGTTTCACTTGGTTTTACTCTTCTACTTCACTGGCCTCACTGTCCTCAATATATTCATGGGCACATTCATGGCGCGGTCCAAAAGATGTTATTCGCAATTATCACCTTCAATCCTGAAATTACCCTTACTACCTACATTACCCTTCAGATCCACCATACCTGTGTACCAATCTAATCCCCTATATTACCTTCGCATTTATTTCATTACTTCATTGCCCTCGTAAAACCCTTAAACTTTTATCACCCTCATTCTATTAATGTAAATTTTAAAAGCCTCAATCCCCCACATTACCTTCACTCCAAAAACCCTCTCATTACCCTCACACTACCCTCACACAACCCTCACATTACCCTCACATTACCCTCACATTACCCTCACATTACCCTCACATTACCCTTTCATTACCCTCACATTACCCTCACATTACCCTCACATTACCCTCACATTACCCTGACATTACCCTCACATTACCCTCACATTACTCTCACATTACCCTCTTACTACCCTCACATTACCCTCACTCACAAAAGAGGGTAATGGCGTCGGCAGCGAGGGTGTGGCGCAGGTCCGTGGCTTTGATGACGCAGACGCTCAGACGCTGCGCCGTCGGCAGGTAACTTGCGGATACCAGCACGTGACCGTGCACCTGCAACCATGGCAGTGGTGGTAACAATGGTAGCAGCCATGGGGGTGGTATGGACAGCCATGGTAGTGGTGGCAGCCATGGGGGTGGTATGGACAGCCATGGTAGTGGTGGCAGCCATGGGGGTGGTATGGGCGACCATATAGTGGTGGCAGCCATGGGGGTGGTATGGGCGACCATGGTAGTGGTGGCAGCCATGGGGTGGTATGGGCGACCAAGGGGTGGTGGCAGCCATGGGGGTGGTATGGGCGACCAGGGTGGTGGTGGCAGCCATGGTTGTGATGGTAACCAGGATGGTGAGTGTGATTGATATATCCATATATCTTGTATAATTGGAGCGCATAGTCTTCCTACCAGGTCTATGACATAAAACAACGTTGAATTAACATAGATTCAACAAAACAAATTAAATTAAACAATGACCCAACGTCAGATATCCAGTGGCCTATACTTTCAAAAAAAGTTAAGAGATCGTAAGTTCATCAGCCAATCATTGACGGCCTTCCAAGCAAAATCCACCAATCATAGAAAGGAAAATAGAGCGTAAGTACTTACGTTCACTTAGCGAGTTTTGAAAGTATGGCCCTAGGCTAGTTGCTTCTTTACCCTAAATCACGATTGCATTTAACTACGGCGCGCCATTTGTGCATATTAACTATCCGCGAATGTGTTTGACGCTGAGCCGCTCGAGCGCTTCGTGTCCAATAGTTATATGAATATAACATTAGTTATAAGAGCAACCAAGTACAAATCTTTGTTAAGAAGAATCATCTTAGATCCTTAGTAAGTTTAAAAGATAACTTTATGAAATAAAGGACGGTTTCCCTGGCACTCGTGGCTGGCAGAGTTGCGTTGTACCTATCTAACTTTATTGGAAATAAAAGAGTAAACATTTCAACATTAATTGCCTTAATACTTCCTGGGTTATTAAATTATTACTATTATTATTTATACTTATACAATACCATCACACATCATATTCGACATTTCAGTTATTAGTAATGAGCAGAGAAAGACGAATTTATTAATGAAAGTCATCAAATGACCGTGTCGGCCCTGGGCTCTCGTGATGTGATCGTGAATCCTGTCTTCCTAATGGTCCTTCTATAAAGTCTTTCTATATAGTTTTCTTAAATAGTCTTCCAATAAAATCTTCCTTTATAGTCTTCTTATATAGTCTTCCAATAAAATCTTCCTATATAGTCTCCCTATATAGTCTTCCATTAAAGTCTTCCTATATAGTCTTCCAATAAGGTCTTCATATATAGTCTTTTTATATAGTCTTCCTATATAGTCTTCCTATATAGTCTTCCTACCTAGTCTTCCTGTATCATCTTCCTATATAGTCTTCCTATATAATCTTCTTATACAGTTTTCTATATAGTTTTCCTGTATAGTCTTCCTATATAGTCTTCCTATCTGGTCTTCCAATGGTCTTTTTATATAGGCTGCCTACATAGTCTTCCTATATGGTCTTCCTGCATAGATCTTCCTGTATATTCTTCATATATAGATTTCTTCCTAAATATATTTTCTTTCTTCACTTTTATTAATCATATAATAGGTATTTGTCTGCAATCATTTTAATCAATCCCTCATAAGAAATTCAAATATTGTTAGTCCTGTGTTTTCCGTTTCCAGAAGCCTTCTATTTTACAGTTTTTTGTTAGTATCTCTCAGTGAAATGAACGTAAAAAAATAATGAATCTTGACTTGCCCCTGTAAATATTAAAAAATTAATTAATTAGAGTTGAAAAGGCCATAATTATAAGCCATTTCGTTGCTTATGGCCTCACCTGCGAGGCCGGGGAGAGGCAGTAGGTGAGGCACGAGGCGTCGGCAGGCGGTGACTCATCGGTGGCATCATCGGCGTTGGTGGTGGCGTTTGTGGCGGTTGTGGCGGTGGTTGAGGGAGGTTGTCGGGGGGCTAACGCGGTGGCGGGGATGTGGCGCAAGGCGAGCGTTAGCTCCCCCATCACTGTGGGTGATAACGCCACCCGCTCCACCGCCTCCACCACCACCCTCACTACCACCTCCTGTAATGCAGGTACCATATAACACCACACACCACCATCTCCTGTAACGCAGGTACCATATAACACCACGCATCATATTCTACCGCTTTGTACACTCCACTTCACCCTAAATACGCAACACGATGCATGCATCCAGCACTGGAGGACAACGGTGTATCCACCTCAATACCTTGAGTAGGTCCTTGGTGATAGCTCTGGATCAGGACATGAGCTCAAAATTCGCACGAAACACATGAGCACTTGTGCACCGCCTTGCACAGCCTCCGGAGAACCGCACACAGTTGCTTGGACTGCACACTGCAAACAACACACTGTACACATCACACTGTACACAGCACACTGCACACAGCTCACCCTGACGTCTGCACGGCCCAACTCTGCGCTGAAGGTGGCCCTGAAGGCAGGGTCGCGACTGTGGCGCACCGTACGTGTCCTGCGAGGTGGGAATACGTAAGTGGATATAGAATACTTCGGTGGACACATTGTGCCGGGACACACTCACACACCACTCTACACCTCTCACAAGAACTCACCCATCACACACACAACACACGTATACACCCCACACACACCTCATATATGTCTTATTGTCGAATTTAGTACTTCCTATAGTTCATGTGTGCTGCCTTCGTCGTCCTCCGTCTCCAAGCCGTCGACGGCAGGTTACCCCCTCCCCGGGGCCCGGAGGGAACATTGAACGCAACCAGAGTGCATCTGCTCTCATTTAGGCCAGCTGATGCAAAATTATGTTGCTTGTTACTTGCCGAGGGTAGTGGGGCATAGACAGACGATCCGGGATTGTGCTCAAAAATGGATCCAGTCGACTGTTGAATATCTCACGGGAGAAATCCCTCCCCTATTAGCTTCAGCTTAAGGCGTTGAAGAGCCTCAGATCCTTCCCGAAGTGTCTGAACACGGCTGTAGCTCGGTTGTTCAATGACCTTGGTTAGTCTCCCACTCATTTAATTCTGATCTGTTACTATTTTGAAAGTCCCACTTTGCAAGTTGGGTACCAATCCGGTAATTATCTCCCACGCGTACAGTATAATTTATCTCTCCTTTGTCCTCTCCAGTAAGTAGTCGGATGCTCCAACCTGTGCCAAAATTCCAGCTCCTTCATCCCGATGATCCTGGATATGAAGGTCCGTTGAACGGCATCCAATCGCCACATCTCGCTCGACTTGAGGAGACGCTCAATGCTAGCGGCAGGCCACGGAAAAGAGCAAACATTGGCTCACAATCCCTTCTTCGAAATATCCGTCAGATCTACTCCATCTGTTGTCTGTTCTCCGTTACAAATGCCGCGATGTGGTCGTCAACCGCAGATACGGTTCTCGTCAACACTTCGAGATCATGAACAAGTCGCTTCTCCTCCAATTCTGTGCCGTCTGTCACTGAGTAGCAGTGCTGTATTCCGACCCCTATACTAATTCTTTTCCTCATTACTTCAAACTTTGTACGGTTAAATTTCATATCATTCACCAGAGCCCAATCGTAGATTGTCGACTAGTCTACTCGTAGATGATCTGCATCAGTACTCTTGTATCGTCCGAAAATGATGATTTAGGTGCATGGGTGACTTCCAAGTCGTGAACCTGTTCGGAATAAAATACTATAAAATATATATATATATATAAGCATATATCAAATAATATGCTTCGGTAGGCGTATTTGCTGAGATTTCATCAATTTTTGGGACAAGCTTCGAATATTTTGTGGTCAAAGTAATTTTAACTGCGATCATTTTAAATATTGCGGAGAAAATAAAGCATAGGTGCCTACGGCATTTGAATTCGAACTTTGATAGCGATGGATTCTTATAAATAGAATACTTTTAGATAGACATAATTATGTTAAAAAGCATCGCTCCAACAACGGGCATAGCAACAATATTAACAACATTAACAACTGTGGTTCAAGTTCACGCTGTAGCTTGGCTCAGCTGTGGCATCTCATAAATTGAGATAAATAGACCCAAAACTTGAGATAATTAGCACCCAGAATAGACCAAGTCTACCATCAGTAACCCCGTCATAACTGACAAATACGATGAACATGAACATGTCAATATTTATCAACCATCGATGGTATTTGTAGAGGATGTTTTTCACTTCCCCACCGTGATTATTACAAATCCTAAGAATTAAGCTTTATTCATGAAACCGTGTGTGTGTTAGAACGTCAAGTGCAGCTTAGCGTCAAAATCTGGAGAACAATTTAAATGAGAAAGAAATTAATTACTTCTAATTACCATGGAAGTATAAATATGAGATTTGGTCACTTTTTTTAATTCAGTGCATACGTACTTGCTGTATTACCCTCATTACTCTCATTTATTATTACATTACATTCACATTACTCTGACGTTAACCTCACATTACCCTCACATTACCATCACACTACCCTCACACTACTAAAGTAATATTTATTAATCTTTACTTTGTAATTGCGAAGAGAAAAATTTATTGAGTGGCTTACAATAAGGGGAATCAGACCTGCTGGGGCTGTAGAGGGAAGATCAGGGTCTGACCTGCTGGGGCTGTAGAGGGAAGATCAGGGTCTGACCTGCTGGGGCTGTAGAGGGAAGATCAGGGTCTGACCTGCTGGGGCTGTAGGGGGAAGATCAGGGTCTCTGACATGCTGGGGCTGTAGAGGGAAAATCAGGGTCTTTGACCTGCTGGGGCTGTAGAGGGAAGATCAGGGTCTCTGACCTGCTGGGGCTGTAGAGGGAAGATCAGGGTCTCTGACCTGCTGGGGCTGTAG